GCACGGTCTGGTTCTGGTGAGAGTCCTCTTCTTGGCTTGCAGACGGCCACCTTCTTGCTGTGTCGTCAGGTGGCAGGTGCAGGGAGAGAGCAAGCTCTCTGGTATCTCTTCTTATAAGAGCACTAATCCCATCATGGGGCCTCACTCTCATGACCTCATCTAACCCTAATTACCTCCCCAAGGCCCCTTCCACAAATACTCTCACATTGGAGGTTACGGCTTCAAAATATGACTTTTATGGGGACACAGTTCAGTCCATATCAAGCCTCTTTGGAGTCTGCTCAGGGACAGAAAGTCCTGGGGGACATCCAATCTGACCCCCTAGTAATGGGTAGCAGCCGGGGTGCATCAGGCATGGAGGGGACAGCTGAGCATAAACAAAGCCCTCCCTTTAGGAGTGATCGGCTCAGTGTATGTCCCTTGAGGATAGTGTCATGGTGTCATAATGAAACTCTATTAAAATAGCTAAGCATAAAATGCATAATTAAAAAGCTTTACATAAAGACACATTTACACCACAAGCTTTAAAGGAAACAAGCACCCACGTATATTGTATATTTTCTCTTAACTTCATCACTTTTTTAGTCTCATCCTGGGTTCATTCCCCAAACTCAAGTATTGTTTTTCCTTTTAACTTTCCTTTAGTTGCTTAATTATATTTTAAAAGTGTAAGAGGATTTCATGGCCAGACATAGGTGGCAAAGGACTGGACATAATATTATCATTTTTATCATAAAAGTAATATATGCAAATGTTAAACACTTTCCAACAGTACAGGAGGGCAGAGAATAAAAAGTGTCTCCCTCCTTTCCTCCTCCACCCCAGGCAGTGTTTCAGAGGTTCCCATCATTAAGTTGCTTCTGTATTCTTCCAGAAATGTTTATAGACGTGCAAGCTTACGTATGTATATTATTTGAAAAACCAATATTTTAAACTATGTTTTTTTTAATTTTATGAGTAATACATGAATACGTTCACTCCGTGAAAAGCTGAAGCATTACGAACAGGCTAAAGTCCCCACCCACTCCCTGCCCAGAGGCCGCCATTATTATGAACGTAATTTCTATTTTTCCTGATCTTTTTGTGTGCATTTACATACATATCCATGAGGAAAATACGTCGTGTCATTTTCTGTGTTCCCTTTCCTCCCTCCCTTCCTTCCTCTTTCTTTTTTTTTTTTTTTTTTGGTAAAATACACATAACATAAAATTTACCATTTTACCCACTCTTAGATGTCCAGTTCTGTGCCATTAAGAACACTTACACTGTTGTGCAACCACCCTCACCATCTGTCCCCACAACTCTTTCCACGCGCAGAACTCTGTCCCCATTAAACACTAACTCCCCACGCCCCGCCCCCAGTCCCTGACAACCAGCATTCTGCTTTCCGCCTCTAGGAATCTGACTGCTCTTGGTTCCTCATATAAGTGGAATCATACAATATTTGACCTTTTGTGACTGGCTCATATAATTTAGCATAATGTCCTCAAGATTCCTCCACGTTGTAGCCTGTGTCAGAATTTCCTTCCTTTTTAAGGTGCTCTGAGGTGTCTCAGATCATTTGGCAGGGAAAAGTATCCAGCTAGAACCTAAGAACAATGTTTTGTTTTTACTATACTTATGTTTATAGTTGCCTTCTATCTATGGTAAATGATCCTGGTTTCCTTTTCTTTGATAGTGATATAAAGCTTACTTTTACAGTAAATGCCTCTCAGTTAAAAAGTGAGTCTATGGAATTCCCTGGCGGTCCAGTAGTTGGAACTCCGAGCTTTTACTGCTGAGGGCCTGGGTTCAGTCCCTGGTTGGTTGGGAAACTAAGATCCCACAAGCCGCGTGGCACGGCCAAAGAAAAAGTGAGTCTATTCAGAGAGAAACATTAAGTAAAGACCTGTCTGGGTTTGAATACAGAGCCCGCCACTTCCTAGCTGTGTGACATGGATACGGTACTACTTAGTTCCTCTGAGCCTCAGATTTGTTATAGGATTAAATGAGATCATGCATGTTAGGAGCTTCACACCCTGGCACATAGTTAAGCACTCAATACTATTTGTTATCGTTATTATATTATTAATAACAGTAATATTGTTAATCTTAAATTTGTCCAACACCACCTGGCTGCTTGGGAAGTCAGCAGACTCTAGGGTGACTGGATATCGGTGCCCCATCCGAAGGCCCCTTCCCCTAGACCAGCAGTTCTCAACCAGGGACATCTTTGCCCCCAAGGGGACATTTGACAGTGGCTTGAGACTTTTTTTTTTTTATCACTATGACTGTGGGTGGTGGGTAGAGGCCAGGGGTGATGCTGTAAATCCCACAATGCACCCCACTTACCCCACCCTGCACCCTGCACCTGTGTCTATGCCTTATAGCAGGTGGCTCTTCAGCCAGCTCATTATTTCCAAGAGACTTGAACTTGGACTCCAGAGACCTCAGCCATGGTTTCCTCATCCAGCACACAGGGATGCTGAAGGCTGCCTTGTCTCTAGCTATTCCACCTCCTGATCGTTGAGCCTCTTGATCACCTACCTGGTCTATGCTGTCCCTAGAGGTCTCTTCCTCTCCTGCCCCAGGTCTCAGGAAACCTGTCTGATTGGCTTTTCTCCACTTGCTTTTACTCCTGGGTGTTTGTAGTTCCTAGAGCAGCCTCTGGGGCCCCATAGCCACCACCTAAAACACTGCAGAGTAAAGGAGGCAGAGAGAGTGAGTGAGAGATGGAGAGAGAGGTTCCCCCCCCGCCCCAACGCCTTCTCTGAGCGCCCTGTCATCCTGGGTCTCCTTCCAGTTGCTCCCTGACATGTATAAATATTCTATTTGTGTGTTGATTTGATTTGATTCGTCTCTACACACCTCCGCTCCTGAGGACAAGAAACCGTGACTGGCAGTGTCCCCAGTACCCTGCATAGTGCCTGACACATAGAAGACACTCAGAATTTATTTGTGGAATATATGAAGGGAGAGGCAGAGAGAGGAAAGGGCGAGGGGATAGATAAAGGGAAGGAAGACAAGCAAGAAAAGGCAGAGAGAAGAGGAGGGGTGTTGAATGAATGTCAGATGCTGAGATCTAAGGAGAAAAGGGAAGAGTGAGGGTCAAGACTGAGGATTAAGCACTGTATAGACTAGCTGGAGAGAGAGGGGGAGGGGTGTGGAGAGAGAGGCAAAAAAAGATGAAAAGGGTGGAGAAGAGAAAGGAATGGAGACACACGACTAGAAAGACACGTACGTGATGAGGCAGCGAGACAGAGAGAACGTGCAGGCGCAGAGCCCCGGGAGAAAACCTCTTTGAACGCTGAGCTTGCAGAGGGAGGAGGACCACCTGCAGGCTACTGCCGCGGTTTCCATGGTGACGGGGATGCTCTGGGCAGGAGAGGAAACACTGTACGGGGAGAGGAGGAGGGACTGGGTGGGTTTTGCCCCTCCCAGGCTCTTTCCTCACCCTTGCCTCAAGCTGGAGATTCAGGGCCGAGGCCGCGGAGGTGGGAGCGCAGCCTCCCCCGCCCCTCCTCAAAGGACCCTGCAGACGTGAAGGACTTAGGCGCCTCGTCTCCCACTCCCCCATCCCTGGCATTTGACCCTCCTCCCCTCTCCCGGGTCCTGGAGGGTCCTGGAGGGTCCTGAAGAGTGTTAGGGAAATATGGGAAGGTGGCTGGGTCAAGCCCTCTCCGTAGGCTCCTCCTCTCTTCCCACCCCATAATTGCTAGAGCGCCCCTGGGCTCCGTCCTGGGCCTTCTCTTCAGTTTCCATAACGTCCAGTCCTAGGGATTTACATGCCCACAGCTCCCACATTTATATCCCCAGCCCTGATTTCTCCCTGAGTTTCCTTCTCCATTTGGGTATCTAAAGGGCATCTTCAAACTTGTTGAATTCTTTAACTCACCAAGTTCATTCTTGCCTCAGGGCCTTTTTGCATTTGCCATTCCCTTTGCCACGAGCTCTTTTCCCCAGCTATTTATTAGAGGTGTCTTTCACTTGAGCTAAGAATTGTCTTGGAGAAGGCGAGCGCTTTGGAGAGGGGAGGAAGGCCTGCTCCAACGTGTGTGTGTGTGTGTGTGTGTGTGTGTGTGTGTGTGTGTGTGTGTTTGAGTATGTAAGATCACAGTGCTGTCAGGGGCGCCCTGTGTCAGTATAAGGAGCACACCCTAGGGGAGTGTGGAAGGACTGTCCTGTTAGAAGGTCGGGGTGAGGCCAGAGGAGGCAGAACTTGAGGCAGGGAAGAGTCTGTGCCGTGGGGAGCACTTCCTCGTACGGTAGATGAGGGAAAGAGATGGCAAAGCCAGGCGTCCCCCTCCCCATCCTGGCAACGAACGAGATGTGCCTCCTAGACAGTGGGCAGAACTGACCGCCACTCCCACTTTGTCATCACTGTCATCTAAAACCCAGGTTAAGCACCTGTGGGCCTGGCGGGGGGTCAAGGGCCCCTCTGCCCCAACCTGAGCCTTGTGGTGACCTCAGGTCTCAGACACAGTAACAGTAACTGGCGGACTGTCAGGCACTAAAAAAGGCAACATAAAGCCAGTGGACATAGTCATAAACTCTCTGCCAGGAGGGGAAGGTCACAGCTGGAGGTGGCCTACTGAGCCCAGAAAATGGCTCTCAATAAAAATTCGTTGAGTAAATGACAAAAATAAAAAATAAAGAATGGTGAGGATGGGAGAGGGTAAGCATGGCCAAGATGCTAAAGGGAGCTGAAGGAGGTGACCCTGGTTTGCTATTTTCTCCTATTTCCAGGAAGCCTTCCCGGAGGAGGAGTTGATTTGATGGGGGCAGGCGATGGCATTGTGCTTTGGAAAGTTTCTGCTCCCCAAGGCATGAGGCCCTCCCAGGGTTTAGAGTTTCTGGAGCCACGGGAGGTGGTTCATAAGCTCTTGGGTTGATGGGCGGTGCGGGGGAGCGGGGCCCAGCCTCAGGGGGCCTCCTGGTGGTCCTCAGGCTCTGGGAAGTAATCTTCCCCTTCTCTCTTCCTTCCTGACCCTGGCGGTGGGCTCGGCCTGGCGCCCCCTCAGCTCTGTGCCTTGTGCTGGGCTGCATGATCTTCCCCGACGGCTGGGACGCCGAGACGATCCGGGACATGTGTGGGGCCAAGACCGGGAAGTACTCCCTGGGGGACTGTTCGGTGCGCTGGGCGTACATCCTGGCCATCATCGGCATCCTCAACGCCCTCATCCTCTCCTTCCTTGCCTTCGTGCTGGGCAACCGGCAAACGGACCTGCTGCAGGAGGAGCTCAAGCAGGAGAACAAAGGTGAGCGGGCGCACGCTTCCGGGTGGGCGGCTGGCGGTCGCGGGGTGCGGAGGTGGGCGAGGCCGGCCCCGCCAGGCGGGGCACCTTCAAAGTCAAGTGAAGCACAAGGTGGAAACCTTAACAGAGAGGCCGACTTCCTGGGAGACAGTTGGAGGTTATCCCTCAAATTCGAACATTGGCACGCCTGACCCAGCAAACCCTCCCATGAGTATAAACCCAGGAGAAATGTATGAATGCTCTTGGCTGCAGTTGCAAAATAGCAAACACTAAAAACCACCTAAATGGCCATTGACAGGAGGATGGATAAATATATGGTGATACATCACATCACAGAATTGTTTACAACTGTGGAAATGAATGAACGTGTTATATGTAATGGAATGAATGGATACATCCTGGAAACATAATATTGAGAGAGAGGGGAAAAAATAGAATTCCAGAAGATGACAGTGAGATAATTTTTTTGAGTTAAAAAACTAAGTAACACTATGCTAAATACAGTTTAAATATATATATATATATGTGGTAATATTGCGTATTTTTTAAAAAAGCAAAGACATGATCAATACAAAAGGTATCATGGTGGTTCTCTGTAGCTGGGATGGAAGCAGGGAAGCAAGGACATGAGGTGGGGGACAGGTGGGTGTGTGCAAACTATTGGCGAGTTAAGTACTTGCATGGTGAGCCCACAGATGTTTGGTGCAGTATGCTTTATACCTAGTATGGTACACATAAACTTTCGTATGTATCAGGTAACGTTAATATACAATAAAGAAAAAATTGACACCTAAGGCCAGAGTCTCAGGGATAACCAGTTATCAGATGCTTATCTGTGTATCTACGTATGTCCCTTTGTGAAATATATGGTAGTGTTATGTGCTAATATAGGAGAGGCATCGTCCAAAACAAATCCCTCCTCAGATTGCTTTTTGTGCTCAACTCTAGAGCACGTCTTAAAGATCTTTATCATTTTGTGGAGAACCATCTTGTCCTTTTTATCCAATGCCTAGCGTTACATAAGACGAAGGAATTATAGTTTCTTAACTGTTCTCCTTGTAGGGGCTGTTAGGGAGGTTCACAGGTTTTTACTGTTACTGGCAATGCAACAGTGACCATCTTTGTCCTTGCCTTCTGTTTTCTTGGTGTCTTTCCAGAAGTGGAATTGCACACTCACAATTTTAGTGATAATTCCAGATTGCTCTCTAAAGGAAGGTCAGTCCTCTGACCCAGGGGCCCATGCTGCCCCTAGAGAAAGGGGAGACACCCTGTCTGTCTGGGTGCCCATTTTCTGCCATGGGAAATTGGATTTCGTTGTGTCACCCTTCCTTGAGCTCTTAGTGTGTGCTGGGTGTATGTTCATCACTTTCCTTTAATTACATTCATCTCTTGGAGCCTCTTATCTGTAAAATGGGGATAGTGAGGGTTATTTCATTTGGCAGGAGTTACTCTAGTATTGTGGTGTGAATACCCTTGGATTGTGAAGGCAGGTTGTCTGTGTTGGAAGCAGGTTGAGCTAAGAAATGAATTCACCTCTTTGAGCCTCCGTTTCCTGCACTACCTAAAATGAGGGTGGTTAAAAAAAAAAAAAAAGTAAGACTCAGGTCCTTTTTATCCCCCGAGGATACTCAGAGACCTGATCTATGGAGTGGTCCATAGTCTCCATCCTCTTCCAAGTACAACTGGACTTGGATACAAACAGGCACACCAGATGACTGGAAGGACACCTGACCCAGTGCTAAGCACTGACACCCAGACTCTACCTGACTCGCCCCACCTGAGCCCAGTCCAGGCCTGCACTGTCCCCCAGTCCCCACCATCTATGCGTATTCCAGACCAACCCCTCTGAACTGTCACCGTAAGATGGGACAAGGGATGGGGAGAGGCGCTCCAGCTTCAGAACAACCCTTTCATTTCATCCTCCTGAGAAGCCTCCTAATCCAAGTCAGATGTTTAACGTCTTTGAGGCATCTATCGCCGACCCTTGTCCTAGTCCATGTTCTCCATGAGGCCGCCTCCTCTGCCTCCCCATGGCAGGGAGAGCTCATCCTCCAGTCTAACATGTCTTGGAGGTGACAGTGGAGTAAGAGAAAGAAGAAAAGAGCAGAATTTGTCTCATGAATCAGCACTCCCCCAACTGTGGTTTATGTAAAAAGTTTCAGAGCACCAAATAATATTGAGGGTTTCACAGCCCATTTCAGGTAATGTTATGTTTGGTAAATTTAACATGTTTTAAATGGAGGTTACCAACTGCTATATAAAGTGTTTATTAAATTAGAAAAAAATTGTTTGCTAATACTTTCACAAAATATAAGTCATTCTGCTCTACACCTCCAACTTCTGTAGTACTGTATGTCAATTATATCTCAATAAAACTGAAAGAAAAATAAAGGAAAAAAAAACAAAAAACGAGGGTGGTGAGAATGGTACCACCTAACAGGGCTGTCCTGCAAGGAAGAAAGACTGTGCCTATAACGGGGCAGTGGTGAATGCTCAGCGAAAGCTGTCACTCCTCACAGCTCCCCATCAGGCAGGCATCATGACCACCATTTTATAAATGAGAAAGCTGAGGTCTGGAGAGGTCCAGTGACTTGCCCAAGGTTACCTAAGTGGTGGAGCCAGGATTTGAGGTCCAAGTCCAAAGGCCAGGCTCTTCCCTGCTGCCAGTCCCCTTTTCAGGGCCCTCCTGGGCTGCTAAGCTGTCCGTCTCTGAGGCTCCTGTCCCTGGAGACACTGGCACCTGGTGGTTTCTATGGTTTTGGTGTGAGGTCGGAGCCTGCCCTCTGGTGGCAGCTTCCAGAAGTGCAAGACTAAGACAGCCACGTGGCCTTTCCAAAGAAGTATGGGGTTGTGACTAGTGTGAGGTTGGCCCACTCAGTGTCCTCTCCTTCCTCCCCAAAGCGCCCTAACAGCTCAGTGTTAAAAGTGACATAAGGGAGCCCCAGTTTGCCTTCCTTCAGCATCTGGGGATTTCCTTCCCTCACTGGGAGCTCAAGGTGAGTGAGCCTCACCATTCAGTTCTGAGCCAAAGACCTCTGGAAGAAAAGTAAGCTATACTTGGTGTCATTTCCACTATTTACTATGTGCCAAACACTGTGCAAAGCCCTCGGCTGGCATTATTTACATCTTTTTAACCCCTCAGAATCACTCTGTGAAGAAGTGGGCTATGTTCATTTTACAGATGAGGAAATTGGGGCTCAGAGAGGTGGAATGGCTGGCTCAAGGCCTTCCAGCTAGTCAGGGCTGGCTGCATTTCAGAACCTGGGCAGCTCACCCCTCTGCCCAGCTTTGCCCTGAGGAGTGGCTGACGGAGCCCCAGTGCCGGGCGGCCTCTGACTTTCTCCAATTCTCTCTCTCTCTCTCTTAGATTTTGTGGGCTCTACAGTAAGCTCTGTGTTGCGGCCAGGGGGTGATGTCTCTGGATGGGGAGTCCTCCCCTGTCCCGTCGCTCACTCACAGGGACCCTGAAGGCCGGGATCACAGCCCAGGAGTTGACCTGCCCTCAGCTTGTCCTGTCTTCTGCCCTCTCATCCCTCCATTCACGCTCTGAGGGAAGACCCCGATCTTGGACTGACCTCACCTGCTACCTGCCTGCGAGCTCCGGGCTTTGAAGAGAGGCTGGGGCTGGGATGCAGCCTGAGGGAGGGGAGAGGCCCTGCAGAGCCTGGGAGGGTCTGGGTCTGCACCTCCCTCAACTGACGTAAGGGAGACAGCCCCCAGTCCCTGGCCTCCTCTTCCCCTCCAGTCTGGCCAGGGCCCTGCAGAGTCTTCAGGGGAAGGCGACGCCGTGGTTCCCCCACCAGGCTCCCTCAGTCCGGAGGGCTGCTGCCTGGCTCTATCCTCGCCTCCTCTGGTCCCCGCCTCCTGCAGAAACTTATCCAAGACACTGCTCCAGGGCAGCAGACTGGACTCTTTCCTATCTTTTTTTTTTGGCTGATGGTGGTTCCATCATCTCGTCACAGAGCTCCAGGCGCCACCGGCCTCCCTGGGGCCTCTCTGCTCCTGCTGCAGCCTGGTCCCAGCTCTCCCAAAGGAGTCTGAGCTGCACCGAGGGAGAAAGCACAGGGCCTTCTGGTCAGATGCTGACTAGGGCCCTGTCCACGTGGACTCTGAGCCAAGACAGGCAGGCTCTGGAGGCAGAGCCTGGACTCCTGTCTTGATGGCGCTTGGCCTCTGCAGCTGGGGCTGGAAGTAGCTCTGGGGCTGGCCTGGCCTCCTCCCTGCTCGGATGGCTCACCAGTGACTGGACCCTTGACCCCGGCCTGTTTTGTACAGCGTAGACTTCTTGGCCCTGTTGTCAGGGTTGGGGAGAGGTGCCCATGAGTAGGGAATTAGGGGATGCGTCGCCCCTCTGCCCCTTCTTGTGCTGTCCCCCCATCCCCTTCTGCCAAGGGCAGAGACTGTCTTGCCTCTTTGATACTTTTCTGCATAACTTGAACTTGCAGGTCACCTCTGAACAGGGTACCCCCTGTCCCCATCCCCAGCCCTAGTAACCCTCTCCCCACCTCTTCCTCCTCCCTGCCCCCCTCTCGCCTTGCGGTTTGCCCAGGGTCTGCAACCCAGTGGGCACGCTTGGAGCCGAGGCATGAGTGTGTGTGTGTGTGTGTGTGTGTGTGCGCGTGCGTGTGCACGCGCGCGTGTAGGTGTTTGTGGGGCAGATGAAATCTTCTCTCCCCCTCTCCTCCCACCGTGGGGCCATCTCTTCCCTTCCTGCAGGGAGCACAGGAAGGAGACTGCAGGTGTTTCTGACCTCCCCTCACTGCCTTGGGGACCCGGTGGTAGAGCCATCTGGCTTGGGGTGTGGACGGCCCCTTCCAGCCCCCATTTTGGCGGCCGGTTGGCTTCATTTCGTGTGCCTACTTCTGTCTCCAGGTACTGGCTGCCTGGCCTATTGTGGAGGGGGGGCATGAGGCCCCTGCAGGCTCAGTGGGGAAGCGTGTGGTCTCCCTGTCATGTCGGCCTCAGCCCAAGGAGGGAGGAAAGCAGCGAGTGCCATGTATTTGCAGCCTTGTGTTCATTTCCATAGGACCTGGACCTGACAGAGTTTCCAAGACAGACCCTAGAAATCCTCTGCCTGAGTCCCCCATCTGGACCCTAACTGGAGTCACATGCTGGGGCCTGGGAGGTTTCCTGAAACCTGGAACTTACTAAGTCCTGACCCCGGCCTTCTCTACTCCCTCCTCCTGGTCAGACACCTGCCCCTTGTGCTCTGGTCCCTGCACTGTGCTCCCCTCTCTCCTGCTCCCACCAGGGTCCCGTGCTGAGTGGGAGGGTGAGGGGAGCCTCGTGAAGGTGTGGAGTGGGGGGGCAGAAGTGAGTTCCTCCAAGATCCAAACCAAAGCCCAGTGTTGGAGGGCATCAGGGGGAGGGGCCAGGAGCAAGGGATTAGAAATGGGAGGAAGGGGACTTCCCTGGCGGGCCAGTGGTTAAGACTCCACGCTTCCAGTGCAGGGGGTGCGGGTTCCATCCCTGGTCGGGGAACTAAGATACCACGTGCTGCGTGGTGCGGCCATAAAAAGAAAAAAGAAATGGGGAGGAGACAGAGATGGGAGAAAGAGAAGGAGGTGCAGAGACAGGGAGAGAAGGAGGGAGGGAGACCAAGCGATGGGGGGTGGTGGTGGGGTGGATTTAGAGGGTACAGAAGTGGAGAAAGTGACCAGAGAGGGAGGCGTGATGGATAGAGCACCTGGAGGTGGGAGGGGAGGTGGCCAGAGACGAGGAAGGAACAGGGATGGGAAGGAGGCAAAGGGAGAGGTGAGCTGTTGGAGGCCAGGTGCAGGGGGAGAAAGGAAGGGGAAGGAGAGGAGGATAGAGGGGACAGGACTCGGAGGAATGGGGAGCAGCTGCTGCGTGCCCACTGTGCGAGGGGAGAGTCTACCACCCACGGGGGCCACAGACCCCTGTGGGCTGCTGGTGGGAAGGTTAGGACCTACCTCCTCAGAGGCGGAGGCGGGGCCCAGGCAGCCATGCCCCACCCCACTGGGGTAGAGGCGCCACATCAAGGGAACTGTCTAGGTGATTGCTGAGCAGGTTAGCGCCACTGGAGTGGGTTAGTGGTAGAGAAAGGGAGGGTGGTTCCCCTTGGGGTGGTTGGACAGTGATTCCCTGTTACCATCCACCCGGCCAGCTGCTGTGGGGCAGTGGGAGACGCACCCAGGAGCTTGGGGTTAGGAGGGGAGTGTTGGTGGGGCTGAAGGAACACCAGGGTGCCTTAGGGAAGGGAAAGAGGCTGGAGTGGGTACCAAACCAAAGCCCTGTCCCTGAAGCTTTAGCAGAGGTGGGAGCAGAGCGGGAAACATGTTTCAACCAGAGACCCCAGGTGAGGCTGAAGTGTCACCAAGGCGGGGCCCAGATGGCTCTCCGGGGCCAGGAAGCCATCACAGCAAGGATGTCTGTAGCTTGCTCTCACCCACATCTGGCAACTTGGCTTAAGCCTTCGGGAGGACGCTGAAGCAGAGATGGTCCGTTCCCAGATCGGTCTCTTGGTCCCTGAAAGACGCTGAGCTTTGAGCGGCCCACTGAGGCACTCCTCCCCCAGCCGTGCCTGGACCAGAGGGCTCTGGCACCATCTGGTTTCCTTTGCCTGGTGTGGGACTATCTCAGGAGAGGCCAATGCAGCTCCAACCTAGTGGGGGTTCAGGGCACTGCTTGTTCAAGTCCTTCCGGGTCTTGGGATGTGTGAACTTTCCTCTGGGGACCAGTACCCATGGAGGAAAACACCATGGGTAGGATCAAGATCTTTTTCAGGCCTGCTATAGCCAAGAAGTTGAGAGCTTTTAGACAAGGCTGTAGGGAAGAATTCTTTGGCCACCTTTTGAAGTTCCTACTTGGGCACAGGGGAGTCACCCTTCTCCAGCTTCCAGTGTGAACTGAGAAAGGGAAACCCTCTCTCTGGAGAAGCTGGGACCTTCCCAGCACGAGAAACTTCCGCAGGCCCCTGCCTGGCTCAGGGCTAGCCTTCGGGTGGGACTGGAGTTTCCTGAGAAGGGAACAAGGGAGCCACAGTCCTCCCCTGAGCTCTGACCAGCAGAGGGCCTATGCTGTGCGTCATTAGGATAGCTTGGTGTTGTTTACACCCCATTAGTAAGTTCCGTCTGAACGTGTCCTCACTGTTCATCGTCCAATTTGGTAACATTGATTTTGGTCCAGACCCCTTCTGCTGCTGCTGGGTTTGAGCTTCAGTGCAGGTGGAATGACATTCAAATAAAGAAACACTTTATATCACCCATGCTAGCTTCTCCTTCTCTGAGTTGGCCCCCAGGGGATTAAGAGGGGCGAGATTCAACCTGACCCTTTGTACCAGCCGTGGCTGCGTATTAACAGACCTTACGTGGAGGTAGCCAGACCATGACTGACATGGAACCCAGCACCACTTTCAACCCTGGCTTTCATCCTCAAGGACACCTCATGGCCTGAAGTGGCTGCTTGGACTCGTCACTTTGATCCACATTTCATTTTAAAGAGACTTCTGGAGATCCCATAGGACTGAGTCACACTGCACACCTAACTGAAATGTAATCTGTTAACAAATAAAATTGTTGTTTCCAAGGCGAAAGGAGAGAATAGCTGGCAGTCTCTGCCAGCTCCTGATTACATGGGCTTGAAAACAAGGCTCCACCCTTTTCTGCCTGTGTGGCCTTGGGCAAGTCCTTTCACTTCTCTCTAAAGTAAGGAACAAATGAGGGAATGCGTGTGAATTGCTTTGCAGTGTCTTGCACATAGTTAACACGCCCCATGTGTCAGCTACATTGATTATAATTTTTGCACTTGGGAATTGAATCTTCATTCAACACATCTTGAGCACATAGTATCTGCTAGGAACTTAAAGTAACAAAATCAGAGTTTCTGTCTTAAGGGTCTGGTTGGGGAGATGAAGTCTGCCTGGTGCAGGGCACTGTGGGTACCCCAGGTAGGGATACCTTGCATGGCTTTAGGTGGGGTGGGTAGAGCAGGGTATGGACAATTTTAACTGTAGGATGAACAGGAGGGAGGCAGGCAGGCAGGGGCGAGGAGAGCCATTCATGAAAGACAACGCAGCTTGGGGAAAAAGGCTGAGATGAGAAACCGGAATGAACCTGTGAAGAGATGAGAGCAATTTAGAAACGCTGAACTGTAAACTGTGAGGTAGGGAGGGTCAGAGATTAATCTGGAGAGATCAGCACAGGCCAGATGATGACTAAGCTCTGATGCTGTGTACAGCAGTTCAGACCTAAGAGCGATGGGGCAGGATTTTAAGCAGGAAAAGGACACAATTAGATATGCATTTCAGAAAGACCACTCTGGTTGTAGTGTTTGTTAGGGGGTTGAGTTAGATGGAGAAAATTTTAAGAAAAAGTAAAGCAGAAGTCTGGCCTGAAGCAAGGTGGTGGCAGTGGTTTTGAGAGAGGTAAGGAATTCAGTATTTAGGAAATAGAAATTACACTTAGTAACTGACCGATTGTGGGGATAAGGGATACAGTGGCGTCAAGGAGGAGAGTTAAATTTTTTGCTTGGGGGGAAATAATAGCAGGGGAGCAAGATAATCAGTTCAATTGGAGACATGCATGTGGGACATCCTGGTGGACTGTCCAGTAGTCGGTTGACTTAATTAGATTTGGGAGCTCAAGAGAAAGATTTGGGCCAGAAACACAAACACATGCAGGTAATGGTTGACATATGAAGTACAGATGAGCTTGTTCAGGGTGACTGTGTAGTGTGAAAAGAGCATGGGGCTGCAAAATGCTGGAAAACAACAACATATAAAGGTCAGAGGAATGGATGTCCAGAGAGAGCTATGACGAGAACCATGAGAATGTGGCGTTAGCGAAACCAAGGATTTAGTTTAGAATTCAAGGGGAAGGTCAACTGATCAGATGGAGCAGAGAGGTCCAGGATTAGGGACTTAAAAATGTGTCTCCTAGATTTGGGAACAAGGAAGCTACTGCTGGATTTGGTAAAAGCCTGTTCAGAGGAGTGAGGTTAGAGCCAAAATGAGGTCTGTTCAGGAAGAGAATGGGAGGTGACTGAGTGCGGGTCACCTTCTGGAGAAGAGTGTCTAAGAAGGGAGAATCGGTGACTGGAACTCTTTCAGGAAATCTTAAGTACAGTGAACAAATACCAGCATGTAATCCACAGGAGGCTATGGAATCTCTTTTTCTTTAAACATGGAGGAGTTCTGAATGTAGGTCATGGCTGGTAAGAGTTTAAAGATAAAGAGAGGGTGACTAATGGAAGAGGCGAGGAAGCCTCTTTTTTGGGGTAAAGTACAAGGTTTAGGGAGCTCTTGCCCGATGGCGTCCAATTCTTCAGTGAAGCAGGAGGCAACACTGTCTACTGAAAGAGAAGGGAATGAGCAAGGGGTTTGAGAAGAATTATGAAAGTTTGGAACAGTTGCTAAAGGAGCTGTCCAAGGATACAAAAGGATCAAGAAAAGGACTGATGGGTGACCATGAATATGTGGTGACACCAACAGATGGGAGGGCAGGCACAGAAGGTAGACTATAGACTGAAAGGGAGGTGCAAGGTAAGCCGAGTCAGAGAGCCACCAACAGATCTAGGCTGGGTATGGGAAAAGGAGAGCCTGCAATGGGGCAAACTGACGGAGGAAATGGAGAAATCAAGGCGCTAAAGTTTACATGAAAAAGCTGGAAGGTTAGGAGACTGTAGCTAATTAGAAAGTTGGGTATTTGCCCTGAATATTCTGAGTAGTTCTTATAAAAGACTTTGAGATGTGAGGCAACCTGGTTAGGATGTCTACCCAAATGGTAAGGATAATGGCAGAAATTGGTGTGCAGAAGACAAGCCAAGTTGCCCCAAAAATCAAAGAATCAGAGAGAGAGGTTGGACAGTTAAGATGACAGCAGGAAGAGGGCTGAAAGCGCAGTAACCAATGCGTGAGCAGCAGAGGAAGCAGGGATTTTTAATCTGAGGGACAAGATATATTTTGTCTGGAAACATTTAGGGAGAGCCTCCACGCAACAGGATGTGAGAGAAGGAGCAGCCTCCACGTCAGAGGCTGCAAAGGAGGTGGCTTCCTAACGAGAGAACCATATTCAGTCAAGGCCAACAGACAATACGGAGGAGGTAGGGGTTTGTCCATCAAAGAAAAGAGCACTGCAGAAAAGTTGGGAGAGAAGGATGGTACGTCGTAAAAGTAGAGAGGGCTGGGAAGCCAGACGACATGGAGGACTGTCATTTTGGGAGGTGACTAAGGCGCATGAAATTGGTAGAACTCACCAGACTCCAAGTTTCCAACAGAGCTCTAGTTTGAAACCCCTTTCAAGTCCACTGAGGCAGAGCAGAAGGACTGGTGACACCATCTGCTGGCACCCATACAGATCTGGAGTTCTGGAAAGCTCATTTAGGTGCCGAAATTCAACCTGAGTGGGTTGGAGGCTTCTTCAGATTCATTTAGTCATTCAACAAAATATGTGTCAAATGCCTGT